ATATCAGCTCTCTATCTGTCTTCAAAAGCTCTTATCAGTCAGATCCTGTCAGACACGTAACACTTATGTTCACACACACACACACACACACACACACACACACACACACACACACACACGCCCTCCTTCCTTCTCTCTCTCTCTCTCTCTCTCTCTTACACACACACACCCACACACACGCCCTCCTTCCTTCTCTCTCTCTCTCTCTCTCTCTCTCTCTCACTCTCTCTCACTCACACACACACACACGCGCACACACACACACACACACACACATACACACCCTCCTTCCTCCCCCCCTCTCTCTCTCACACACACACACACACACACACACACACAATAATGACACTGAGTGGAGGTGTTTGTTCAGAGGGCTGTTTGCTGCTTGGCCTGAGCGCTGTAGCTGCAGCAGAGCAGGAGGTGACGGTGTCTGGGTGGAGGGTGTGAGTCCGGGCAGAGGAACGCCTCACTCTCTCAGGCAGGTAGGAGCTTCCAGAGGTGCTGCTTTGTGTTTGAGAGGATTTGTTGCAGGTTTGTTTTTCTTCTTCAGGGCCGGTTTAGAGGTATCCATGTTCTGATAATACGTTAAGTTTGAGAAGACACTGAACACGTTTTCTCTTCAGTTTTCTCCTGATTTGGCATGATGCTTATACTCTTAATCTATGTGTCTGCATTCATACTTAGAGCACTATGTTGACTTTTTAATTTAACTTTCACTTGAGTTTTGTTTACTTTCCGTCAGTGTGGGACAACAGAAGAGTAAAGAGACATTTGTATTTATTAGCGACGTGGGCTTTCTGGTTTACTTCTTTGATAACTGGTTCAAAACATGATGTCAAGTAGATATGAATTCTATTTTGCAGTGAAAAACAAAACATGAGAGAAAGGATATGGATGAAATCCTGGCTGAGAAGTTGTGTTTATGTTTGCTGCTATGTTTGTGATCCGTAAAAGTCTGCAACATGTGGTTTGTGATGCTTCCCGGACTGCTCGCTCTCATTGGCTAATGGGGGTAATCAGTCTGAGAAGGCCTGATCTTAAATCGTATTAAACATGTTTGATGTTTGCGATTTGAGATCGGGGAGGCTCAGACTGGATCGGGAACAGCAAAGTTGTCGTATTGGCATCTCACACTTTAACATTATTTGGGGAAAATAATTGGTTGTGGCAAGCCAGGCCAGCCCCGAAGCCCCCCTCCAAAACTGGGCCTAAACTCGTCTGTGTATAGCCAGACTTAGTTAGACTCTAAAAGTGATGAAAGACATTTGATTTGCAGAGAGCTTTCCTCCGGTCTCTGTAGGTTTTAAATATGATATTTTGGTATTTATACCCCGTGGGAGGCGGGGCTTTGGGAGCATCGCTGCATGGCAGAGCTGGCATTTACGTTGGAGAATTTTAATGAAGCATATTTTCTAGCAGGCCGCTGCTATTTAAACTTCAACTGTACTGGAGAATCTGGGGCAGGATGGGGATCAGATAGTCGGGATTAAAGCCTCGGGTTATTAAAGCAACTCTTTGGGTATGTTGACGGACTATTTCTTCGAGGTTCATCTTCAAAGAGCCTGTAGTATTCAGAGAGAGACGTAGTCTGCATTCCGACTGTTCCTCTCGGTTGTCTGCTGTCACGCCGTGAAGGCCGGCATATGTCAGCTCGTCTAACAGCTGTTTCAGGGGTCAGAGGTCAAAGAAGTGACAGCAGGAAAAGCTCTGCTGTTTCAACTCAATCAGTGACCTGACGTCCTTCGGCCTCCTCATACACAACTACTGGCTCGGGTCACATGGAGCTTTAACTATAGGGTAGAATAAGTAATATCATTGTTGATCCAAAACTTGGTAACTATAGTAACCAAGTTTTGGATCAACAATGATATTTTAGTAAAGAAGTGAAGGTGGCTCTTCTAATCTTGGAAACAGAAGCAAAACAAACAAGCATAATGTCAATCCAATGAAATATATTCTCATCAATCAATCTTTATTTATATAGAACCAATTCATAACAAATGTTGTCTCGAGACACTCGACAAAAAGCAGGTAAAAGACCATACTCTTTGTTATCTTTGTTTTAAACAAAGCAAAGTTTCTCTTGGATTGTAAGGTACTGCGGATTTTGTATTGTTCACTTATTTTGCCTTATTTTAGTTATTGTGTTGAAGTGTGGGGTGACACTTAAGTCACAAATATTAATCCGTTATTTATTTTACAGAAAAGAGCGGTAAGAATCATTCATAAAGTCCACTATAGAGAGCACACCAGTGGGCTGTTTTTAAGATCAGGTTTATTGAAACTGAAAGATTTAGTTGAGTTACAGACACTTGTAGTTATGTTCAGAGCGAAGAGTCAAGTATTACCAAAGAAAGTTTACAAAAGATGTTTGTTTTTAGCTCAAAAGATGAAGAGCAGGGAAGAAAATTTCATTTTAAGCATCAGTTTGAGGTTCGAGGACAACTTTAAAACAGAAGTGTATTTCTGTCATTGGAATTAAATTGTGGAATTCTTTAAATAATGACTTGAAGGGCTGTGTTCAGATATTTCAGTTTAAGATAATGTACAAGAACAAAGTTATCAGACGGTATGAAGTGGCAGTTAGTGTGTTCTGTGTGTGTTTTCCTTCTACTTTCAGAGGAAGTAAAGACTGAATTGTCAGATTTGTTTTATGTTGGCATGATATTCATTCATTGACTGTAATTGGACAGACCATCCAGACATTTATTGTTGCTTTTTGAATAAGGGGCCGGCAAAACAAGAATTATTCTTCTCCCTGCTCCTTTCCGTACATGGGATAAAGTGTGAATTGTTTTTTTTCTTTATCCTTTTCTGTTGTGTGTTTTGACATGTACGGAACAAATAGAAAAAATAAATGAAATGAAATATTATTTACAAAGACCCAAAATGAATCCACCATAAGCACAGCAACATGTAGAAAACTTACAGTGGCAAGAACAAACTCCCTTTGAACAGGCAGAAACCTCGAGCCCACCTGCTGAGACCGTGTGGGCTTGAAAGTTAGTTCCTGGGACTTAAAGTTCTAGGAACTGTGGATGGTAACAGGAGGGCGGAGGTAATGTTTGAAGTCATGCTGTAGATGTGACTTTTTATAATATTGATGCAGCAGTGGATTTAACTTGTAATAAAGTGGAAGTTGTGACTAACACTGATTTGACATAAGATGCAAAGGAACTAAATGTGATATTTTTGTGCATGGAAGCCATGAATCCATGCAACAAGTTCATTTGTTGACTGAAGAAGTAGCTACAGATTCAGTAACATAAGAAGAGCTTGTACTTTTTTTTTATTTGAATTTATAGATTGAATAGTACGCCTGTGGATTTCCCTTCAGTATCTCACACTTTTGAATAGAAGCTCATGTAAATCAGCTCTTACTTCAGCTCCGCACCTCACAGCCGGATACCTCCTAACAGAGAGAGAGCTGTAGGTCAGGCTATATTTAGTTCTGCATATTAAGTATAATCATGTCATTAATCTTTAGTGAGCGGGACCCTCCTGACTTCAGCTCACACTGTGCCACATTTACAAAAGACTCGGTTCCCCTGGTATCTGTGTCTGCGCTCCTCTGGCTTTTGGTTATATTTGAGTTTGTTGTCAGAACATTGTGGTGGATTAGCCTCAGTGTGTAATAAATCTATCCCCACTTGTAATAAATGTCATGCTAAAAGACACTGAACCCCTCTTTAACCTTTGTATGTACTGTAAAATGCTTTTAATTGTCCATTTCACACTTAATTTCTGAGTTAATTTTGTTGCCTGGAGTGCAGATTTATAGTCTCCCTGTGGATGTAAAGTGAGAGAGCAGCAGGCTGTGCCATCCTGATATCTATCACGTTGTACCTGGTGTGATCGCTTATCGGACACATCAGTTGGTAAACTTTGATCACACTATCATTTGTGTGCAGTGACTGCTTGATGACTGGTGTATGTGGTTTACTTTGGCAGGCAAACAGGCTCATTGGATAATGGGTCACATGGGCCCTAAACAAAGCCCGTCTGCCTATCAAATCCTCCCGTCGTCCAGTGACAGCTCAGCAGTCCGCTCAGGTTGCCAAGGGCTGCCGTCATAGCAACTGAGTTGGCATAGGTGGTTTGCTCCTCTCTCTGTGGCTCTGCCGACAAAAGTCTGCACGGTTTGAATCCTGCTTTGACTGTGTCACCATGTGGCGGTGAGAAAGTCAAAACAGGACTTATTGGAGCTTTACAAAGCACAACATATGAGAAGTCAGTCACTTCATGTAAAGCTGGGGTTCCATTTCCCAACACGTGTTTGTTTGTCTTTATTCTTTATGTCTGCCACACAGGTTTGTTGGTACTGATAGTTTGCTGTACAGATTGTTACCTTGTCAAATAGTTAAATCACTTGAAAAACTTTTGGTGGAATCACTTGTCTCGTCAAAAACAAACTTGTTTGTGTTATATCTCAGTAATCAGTTGTAGGTCCAGCCATTTTATTCTAAGAGCCTCTTAATAGTACAATATGGCACATTTAAAGCCTTTTTTGAGATGACCTACCAAGCTTTTTACCGTCTCTAAATTGGTTTTAAAACGCTGGAAACAAAACAAAAACGCACATGAAATCCTATTTCTGCAGATCAGATCCAAGCATAGTAATTAGGTGGTCAAAAATTGGGGTTTGTAGGTGCGGCGGTGGCTCAGTCTGAAATTGGTCTGGCAGCTGGAAAGGTGCCAGTTCACTGCCATGGTGCCCTTGAGCACGGCACCATTGTTGATGTTAATGTTTTCCAAAAGTACTTTACCATGAGATATTGTAACAGCTACATTTTTTTCTGCCAGATTTTCCTCTACTGATGTTCATTTCTAGATTTGCCTTTGCTCGCTCAGGTTAAGCGTGCTTCCTCACATTATACAGAAATGCAAATTCAAATGGAAATGTTCGAGGTGTACTGTCTAACATCTGTCTCTCTCTGTGTGTGTGTGTGTGTGTGTGTGTGTGTGTGTGTGTGTGTGTGTGTGTGTGTGTCTCTGTGCAGATTGAGAACATCGATGCCTGCCTCAGTTTTCTGGCAGCCAAAGGAGTCAACATCCAGGGTCTGTCTGCAGAGGGTAAGCTGTCCTCCTCAAATTCTAGTGCTAGACTACAAACTTAACAAATGTCATTTGTGTTACAGAAAGAAAGCTAAAGAATGGAATATTATTATTAAAGCCTTTTTTATTGGCAATCTCTCAAAGTAGGATAAATATTGGAGATGCTTTCGAAAAATAGAGAGAGGTTAGAGCACAGAAAGGTTTACACCCACACCAACATAGAACTCATTTACCAGAAAGCTCTCAATAGTGTTTCAAGGTCTGCATCGAAAAAAGGATATTGATGCTGGCTTACGAAGCCTAAAAACATTTAAATTCCCCACTCTCTCACTCCCTGATTTCTGACTCTATCCACTGCTCTGTCTCTAAGTAAAGGCATAAAAAGCCCTAAATACAAATCTTCAAGAGAGTTACATCACAAATGGCTTTGATTTATTGACATAGAAAAGCCCTGCAGCTGTTTTTATTATGCATGGTTAAACTGACAGAACTTTTACCTTTATGTATCCATCCGTCATAACCTCATCTGCCTTTTCCTTTTTTTTTTTTTCATATTCCAGAGATTCGGAATGGTAATCTGAAAGCCATCCTCGGCCTCTTCTTCAGCTTGTCTCGCTACAAACAGCAGCAGCAGCAGGCCCACCGGCAGAACTCTCAGCCCTCTCTCTCCTCAGCCCAGTCTCAGAGCACACACCCTCCCCTGAGCCATCAGAGCAGCGCCCCCGCACAGCTCAGCCACTCTCCGCATGGGACTCCTGCCGTCACAGCCCAGAAAGCAGCACAGGCCGAGATGCAGTCCAGGTGAGCCTCACTGGGAGTTTTGAAAAATGAGAAATACACCCAAGTTTGTCTTTGTATTCTTCACTTTCTTGCCGTTTCTGCTGCTCTAATCCATCATTGTGTCATCTCAATCTCCCTGTTGCCACTTCCTGTCATTTATAACCGTACACCTGACCTCTCTGTCTCTGTCCTCTTCCATATCTTCTCTCTTCTTCTTCTTCTTCTTCTTCTTCTCCTCTAGGGATGGCTCTCAGAGTAAACTGCTCAAGTTTTCCCTTGGTCAGAAAAAGACCTCTAGGTCAGCTTCTCGTGAATTTCTCTTCTCTTGCACCTTCCTCTCTTTCCTCCTCCTTAACATTTCCTGTCCTTGTTTTGTTCCTGGAAAATAGGTAGGTAGAAATTGCCCCTAATCAAGGATAACATTTCACTGTACCGTAATGAAACCACTGTTGTATTAGTCTGTGATTAAGGGCAATCTCTACCACAAGCACTATCTATTATGCATGAGTGGTAGTGTTTAGCTGATAGGAACTAAAGCTGCAGGCGCTGTTTTCGGACGGGCTGTCTGTCTGGCAGCGCGCCTCATTTGGCAAACCTGCTAAATGGGCTGTGAAAGACCTTTAGATAACCCTTAAGTATGTGCGTGTGTGTATGTGTGTGTGTGTGCACACCCCCCATATCATGTGAAGTTAATAATTAACACAAAAGAATCTGTGGCTGGAGTTTGCATCTATAATATGACAATGTGGCGTTTAAATTCAAACTGAGCTTTGTTGATGCTCTTGACTTTTTGCATTTAAATTCCTTCTTAAGCATGCACTGTCATATTATGTGTTAATCTGAGCAATGATCACGGATGTGGTTTTGCATGCTGTTCATCCCAGACTCTCTGTTTGCATTGCACCTGCCCCAAACCAGCTCGTCTCCAAAAAACAAAAAAACAAAACACAAAGCAATAACTCCCCCTACTGGTCAATGTGTGCAACTACAAGATGGAGAGGTCAATTTCTCCTTGTGCTCTGCATCCAAACACTCAGCTTTTCGTCACCTTTTCTCTTTCAAAATCGTAAAGTGTACAGGTCACCTGAAATCAAGCGGCATTTTAAAAAGAAAAAAAAAAAGTCAGTGAGCGACAGTTAACACAAATTTGCATGGATTAATTACTCATCATTTACGTACACATGTGTCAGTATAAATCGATGGCTTTGACACCCTCAGCCGTTTTTGACAAAATTTTAACTTCATCATCCACGTTTAAGTTTTGATATTCTGTTCATTACAGTGAACATTTCTTAAATGCACAGCTGCTCCAAAGGGGGAAGGTGGTAGACTGACTGGTCCAACTATAATTGGACGCCACATAATCTTTGGCTACGACAAAATAATGTGGTAAACCTTATTACCGTGGAATGGCTTGATAACTAAAGGCCAGTCAAAGTGAATGGCACACCGGAAATTAGGGTTTATGTATTCAATGTATGTGAACGCAGAAAGAGAGCGAGGAGAGAGAGAGAGAGAGAGAGCTGTGATCTGCTTATCAGCATCCGCCTCGCCGTGCCAGGATGGTGATGATGTTGCTGCTGCTGAATTAGCATTTCATTAGCAGTCGGCGTGTCACGGCCTGGTTAGATTACACCTCGGCTCACAGACATCACCGCCGTCTCACAATATGGGACCAAGGTGTCAAAAAATCTCACCGAAGCTTATCTGTGGCCTGTATATCCGGTCTAATCCATGTGAGGAAATAAAGGAGCAGGCGTTGTAATCTGAGGCTGATGAGCTCAGAGTCCCCCGGGGAGCGGCACTCTGTCAGCCTGTCAGACCCACTCACACATGTCCACACTGCTGGGAGCTCATCTGTGGGTGCAGACCAGGAGGAGGGGCAAGAAAAGCAAACAATGGCTGAGTTTATATTTGGTCAACTCTGTGCATGTTCTTATCCAAGAAACTGACTTTAAAACAGAATATGAGACGACATCTTTCTGGGGGGGGGAATTATAGCAACATAAAAAGAAAACATGAAGAAATAGTGGAAGGGTCGCCTGTGGCATGGTGATTGGTTAATGAGTCCCGTGTGCTGAGGGTGTAGACCTGGAGGCGGGCGGTCGCAGTTTCGAGCCCAGCCTGTGGCTCCTTTCCCGCATGTCCTTCCCTGTGCTTTCTCTCTCCTCAATTTCAATTCTCAAAAATAACAAGAAAGTGTGTAGACTCGACCTTGCAGATCAACAGGAAGTCAAAAGCAGAAATCTGCATTTGTAAATCAATAAATTAGGTCAAAAGAGGTGATTATCATGAATTGAGAAACGCCCAGGTTGTAAGTAACCTGACCTTCTCTAGGCAGTTCATTAAAAGCTCGTTCATAACGGACAATCAAAGAACAAAAGCCGATGAGTGCATAAACGGGATATTAAAAACCGTCATTTACTTTTTCAACATTTTCTTGACCAACATAGAAGAACATAGAAGATATATTTCTCTCCTTTTTGACATATTTTCTGCATCTGAGGTATGTTGGCATTATTTTAGGCTACAACTTATACCAGGCGTTGTAGCAAATGCTCCGAGCAAATACAGGAAAAAAAAAAAAAAAAGCTCCTCCTTTGGTTGCTTTTTTTTTTAGTGCTCTGCCTGTTTGGATAAATAAAATTACATCTTCAATACTCCAGAACCTGAAGGGTCCATGTCATCTCAATCCAAGTTTAAAGAAACCCTCCTGCTTGTGTTTAGAAGTAGGAGACTTGATGTTTCTCAGAAGAAAGTGTTTCAAACCTGCGTAAACCGAACTGTGTTCCTGCAGTGTGTTGGATGAAGGCTTTAAATTGAATATTCTCCCTCAAACATTTTTCATCTCTGACTTTAACAAACTTAATATTTGTGCCTGTTTATGCCCCCTTTTCTTTCTTCTTTTCTCCTCTCCGTCTATCTCCCTTTAAACTCTCCTTCAGACTTCCCGGCCCCTCGGCGAGGGTGTCCACTGCCGGCGGTGACATCCCTCCCAGAGGCTCGGTCAGTGCTGCTGGGAACCGACGCAGTCAGGGCTTCAGCGACAAGACCAAAGCCAACTCACACCTGAACAGAGGTAGGCCTCGTGTACAAACACAAACACACACATATGCAGTATATCTATTTTTATTCTTGGCTTTTAATGCAATCATAGCATCATAAAACTGACTGCTCTAAAAGAAATATCGCAGCACTTAGGACGAATTAAAGGTGATCTGTGAATCCTCTGGGTGCTTTTTGTTATTGCGGTAGAAAATACAAGTGAGCTCTGTTGCTTTGAGACCAAGAGAAGGTGTTAAAAACTGTGGCAAAAAATAATGAATAGCCCCCAGCATGCGGCGTGCACCGAAACAACTTATTGTGAAAACAGTAAGGAATACATGAGCGTAGAATCAAGATGTTTCCAGTGAGTGAGCGGCCTCATTTAATTTTTAACAAGGTTCATTCATTTGATCCTGAACATTTTATAGAGACAGAAAGAAGAGGAAGAAGAAGAGAGTGTCTCTCTCTTCTTTAGTGCTTGGTTGCTTTTATAAAAAAAAACATTCAGTTGTCGGATGCTGATGTAAATGCAGTAATGGGTTACTACCTAAATGAGGATGTACCAATATTCGTTTTAAATTATTTCAAAGGCCAGTGAAAAAAGTTGGGTTTTGAGATATGCTGGGAAAGAATTTATTCCAGAGAAGGCACGGTCGCCCCTGAGCTCAGAGGACCTGAGTGAACGTGTTGGGGTATAAGGGGTTAAACGTCCTGATAAATAAGAGGGAGCTAGACCATGCAGTGATTTAAAAACAAGTAATAGCATTTACTTGAGGTCGTCTCTCTAGGTTTGACTCCCAGTTACAGGAAATCCTGCAAAAGTTCCTCCTTAGAGTTCTGAACTTCTGGTTTCACATTATTTTGACCTTGATTCCGAGAAATTTACTTGTTTCTTTTTTCTGTCAGTTTGTTATTTTGAATTGAGCCCCAGCGTACCCTTGGGCTTCAGCTGCTATTGTTATGGAGCCACATGAATTAACGGGAGCAAAATTTAGAACACTTTGTTGTAAAACATTAAATTATGGTTGTTGAATTGACCTAAAACTGACCCAGAATGTGAGCGAGAAGAGATTGAAACAGCAGACTTTCCTACAAAATACAATCTTTGCCTCGTTCAATGCTGCAAGAGGCAGAATTTCAAGGTTGTAGACTTGATATACGTTGCTTAAGTGTTTGATGTATTCAGGCTTTCACCACCTATACCAAATATTTCTGACACAGCTGTTCATCTCTTGTGCTGAAGATTCAAAAGAGTTTCATGTTTATCCAAAGAACGGCATCCCTGAAAGGAATGCACCCACTCTGCTGATCTGTTAATGTCTGTTAAAAGAGATAATGATAATGTGAGATAATGTAGGGAAACAGGAGGTCGTTCCGGTCTGGTAGCTGGAGAGGTGCCAGTTCACTTTTGAGCACTGCTGAGGTGCCCTTGAGCAAGGCACCTAAAGCCCCAGCAGCTCAGGAGCGCTCGCTGTGTGCAGCCCCCTCACTCTGACATGCCTCCATTAGAGAATGTCCACAGGATCCTGTTTGTGCATGTGTGTGTATTTCAGCCTATGTGTGTGTAGCATGTTCAACAACAGAGTGTAAACTGAATTTCTGCTCGCAGGATTAGTAAAGTATATCTCATGTTATAAATGAAACAGGCAAACACAGTGCAGCAGCACACTGTTCCACTCCCATTTACTCTGCGAGAATCATGAACAGACATATTATCTGTCTTATGTTTGCATTCGAGTCAGATTTGTACACTCAGGAGTCTATTCCAAATTGCTCTGACCCAGTTTAACTCCTTCTGCACAGTGTTAATGCTCTGCAGCAAACACACTGTGTGTGTGTGTTTGACAGTTTTTATTTAGTTAGAGCAGTGTTGAAATAGCTTCTGTCACAGCTCAGTGGGCCAAAGCTTTATATAGACTGTGTTAGTGTTCTCAGTCTAAACTCATTACCCTGCATGAGACAGAGAGTTCTGACCGCCCAGAGAGAGAGAGAGAGAGAATCATTGGCATGAAAGTGTTTGTGTGTGTGTGTGTGTGTGTGTGTGTGTGTGTGTGTGTGTGTGTTTAAACAGTGACAAATTAACAGGGAGCAGCACTGTGGGGAACTTATTCTGATGTGCAGCACTGTTGGAGAAAGGGAGCTTTTTAATGGAAAGTTTAGTGTTGATGAACATGGTTGGAGAACAAAGTGAACGTGGTAGAGTTAAAGGAATTGAGACATTTGGGGAAGTTTGTTTATATTCATTTGTTGCTGAGAAAAAGAGGGAAAGATGGAAACAACTCCCACACATGTGCTAATGAGCTACAGCTAGGCATCGGTGTATGAAGTCGATGTTTCAAGGGTCATTCAGCGCTTTACCGCTGGATAGAGTTGAAAATCAATGGGAGAGAGAGAGTGGGTAATGACATGTGGGAAAGGAGCCACAGGCTGGATTTATTTATATAGCCTCTGCACATTGGGCGTGCAAACTAACCACTAGGCCACCGTCTCCCCTATTTAAATGTTTAAATTATCTTCTTCTGCAGAAAAGCTGTGAAAGAGGCAAACAGCTCACCTGGCTCAACATAAGGTGAACGGACTGTACCTTTAAGAACCTTTAAACTTGATTTATCAACAGATTACATCTTATTTGTTCGATAGAGGGAAAACACAATTATTAAAACCTGTTCAATTATATTAAAAATAACTGTACAGTCATGTTATAGATTTGCTAACAAGGTTCAGAACCCCTCGTGTATCAGGAGTAAAAGATGAAGCAGTAATTGTAGAAGTTTGTTAGCATGGGGTGTAGTACCCTTCTGTATAAAGAGAAAATATTTCAGTATCTGCATTAAAGTGAAGTGTTTATTTTTCAGTCTTTGTGTTTTACGGGAGTTTTACATCACGGCTGATGGCCACCCACCCCGAGTCTGTCTCTGCTTGAAGTTTCTGTTTGTTTGAGGAGTTTTCTTCTCTGCCACTGTCGCCAAGTGCTCGCACATTATTTGCTCTCATTCTGTGACATTATGAAGAGATTATAAAGAGATGCAGTCTGGAGCTGCTCTGCATGAAAAGATGCCTGACTGAACTTCTGTTATGTTTGGCATTATAGAAATTAAATCAACTTGACTGGATTAAGTCGGCAAAGTTCCTCAAAAAAAGACCAAAGCTCATCTAGAAATCAGATCCACTTTGTTAAAAATGGTTTAAATTAACAGAGTAATTACCTCATAAGGTGTGTGTGTGTGTGTGTGTGTGTGTGTGTGTGTGTGTGTTTATGAATGTGTGTTTAAGACTTGTAGGCATTATAATTAAGAGCAGGTATGAGTTTCCCTTTTCAACCCCCCTCCTCCTTACCCTGTTGTTGTAATGCTGCTAAGCCCCTGCCCACTGCCACAGCGCTGCACTCCTCCCCCCCTCCTCCTCCTCCTCCTCCTCCTCCTCCTGCACTCTGTGGATGGTTGGCCATGGTTTGGACCTCTTCCCTCCTCTCCTCTCCTCTCCTCTCCTCTCCTCTCCTGTCCATCTCCTCCTCTCCTTCTTTCTCTCTTCCTCTTCTGGACGTCTGCAGCACCCATGAGGTTTGTCAGCATGCTCTTGTAGCTGGTTTTGAACCTGTGTGTGGGTTTAAGGTTCAGATGTTTAACCTGAGCTTTACATTTAACACTTAGAGGTTGTTTCACTAGTTTGTTAATGCTGTTGTTGTTGGAGGATATGAACGTATTTGCATTTTTGTGATGCCATATTGGAGGATTCTAAAGTGAACATTTCTCATGAAGGATTGTAGAAGTTGTTGCACTTTTTGCTTCACTTGGTGTGAAACTTGACACTGATTTAGATTGTGTTCATAGCTTCAAGGTTTCATTAAAATGTGTCTATTTTTGAATAGACTTCAATTCATTGCCTTAAAATTGAATATTGGGTCATACATGCTAGTCATTGCTGGATGTTATGCACGCTTGTTGTGAGACAGTGTTGCTGTATGTTCATTTGGTTCGGGGACACCTGCAGCCTGCTTCCATTGTGGGGCCAGATCTGCTCTGTGTCAATGGCTGTGACACCAGAAAGGAGTCACGTCACTGCACGGCTGTACAGTAAGGAGACAGACCTGAATCTTCTCTTCTGCTTCGTGTTAACACAAGGTGACAGAGTCTGTGTGTCCACAGAGTGACACAGAGCAGAGAGACGCAGGCAGGCACAGAAAGCTAAGGGCACCTGTGTGTTTGTGTGTGTGTGCACGCTTCTGCAGCCCGTGTGTGTGTGTGTGTGTTTGTATGACCACCAGTGCCTCTCCTAAATGAATAGCTCTCTCTAAATCTGATGAGCTGTAGCGTCACTATTTGAGTGTATTCATGTGGAGAAACTTTAAAAAGTTTCAGTCTCGGCACAAAAGCCGGCTGTCCCTCTCACTTTTTGGAGCACAATGACTGAGGAGAGCGAGCGAAGAGGAGAGAGCGGGCTGCCGAAATCACAACGCGATGAGTAAGCAAACACCTGCGGCTTCAAACTCTGTGCCAATCTGATGTGATTTGTGCAGATTTTTAACAAATTAAACGTCAATGGAGGAATGAAATTAAGCTGACCGAGGAGGGAAGAATCTCTCTCACAATGCTCTCTCTGTGTGCAGCACATGTGGGAAACTTTCTCTGCAGCTTGACATGTTTTTGATTTTTTTTTTTCAGTCTTGCTTTATGTGGTTTGTATGTAAGTAGAGCATTTTCAGGTCAGCAATTTGGTCACTTACTGACTGAGAAAGGTTTAGCTTTATGTCTTGTGACCGGTGCAAACATAAGAGCAGTCGGAGGGGCTTGTGATGTCTGAACAGTGTCAGCCAATTTGACGCTACCTCTTAAGCATTTACTGCCTGTTAGTTTGTGTGTTTGCTCCGCTCACTGGAGCAAAACTGCATCGAGGTTAAAGCATTTGAAGTCGTCAGGCAGAGCAAACATCCCCCTCTCTCTTCAACGCGACGTGCATGCACACAAAGAAAAGTGTTGACACTTGTGTGACATTGCATGCTTTTTCCTTAGCTGCACACATGCATTAACACACAATTGCACACGCACGGACACATGAGTGTGACCATCCATGTAACGAGCTTTGGGTCCACTTTGGCTGATTTCCCAAACACCTTGATGTTATCAGGAGGCTCAGAGAGGGGGAGACAGGTTTTTTTTTTTTTAATGGTAGACAGGAACTTAAGTGGTGGTCTTTTCCCCCTTTGGCTACTCATCTACTGTCATCTGCTCTGGGTTTTATTCTCTAATGACTGCTGTTATTAAGCACTTGAGTCGTAAACACTTAAATTCTTTCAACATGTTTTGTGAAGCAGACGGCTAAAGCGTTGCAGTTTAAGAGGGCAGTGGGAGGTTTTTTATTTCCAGGATTCGGGCCCCAAGGCTGCACAGGGTCATTAGGTCAGTGACCCATTCGGTTTGCATGTTAGGACTGCAGTGCTGTGTGTTTATTTTTTTGAAGGAAAGTGCTTCCTCGATCGCATTAAGTGCCCTTAATTGGAAGCTGGTTTAAAAAAAATGCTGCCAGATTAGGGACAGATTAATCCAATGTGATAATGTAAGGTTATATTAATTTGTTGCAGGTCTGTATCCATGTGACAGTATTTGTAGTTTGTTGTCTATAAATGTGAACTTTCCACTGTTTCAGGAAGTTGTGCCAAAAAAGAAGACATGTGCTCCACCCTGTGGCCGACTTGCTAATGATGTTTTCACACATGCACAAAACTCCTGAAAACGTGCTCAAATATGCAGGATGTGCAAAGATTTCAGGGGCAGAGTCGACTGTATGTGTGCCAATGGTTAATATGTAAAAAGAGCAGTTTGAAAAGAACAATCAGTTTTTAATCATTAGTGATTTATGGACCTCATTGCAGGTTTGCCTCAGATGATTTGATAAAATCCTAGTTTCCATTCCATAAAAGACGTTTCTTGCTAATAACACAGTTGATTGCAAAATAGATTATAAACCATTTATTTATTTTTCATGCAGTATACGATCATAATCTTATTCCAATGCAATGGAAAGCAGACCTTTTCATGGATAAGAATTGGCAACGGGTGATATTTAGTCTGCTGAGCTCAAAGGTACATTTGCAGCTGATGATGTGCTAGCAAAATTCAAAGTTTTTCAGCTGCTGTCCAGTCATCAAATTCGCTCGACCCTGCACATATTATACGCTGACCCCAGTACAACAATGACGTTGGTTTAAACTAAGTTGTGTAAACTGTACACAGAGGCATTGACTGAGTCTCAGTTGCTTGATTACTCATTTTAGACACAGGCTGATGCGTTGTCCAGCATTACATCACAGCTGTTCACAGACAGTTTCACTGGAACTTAAAGACAAGTGTTTGATTGTCAGTATAAATCCTAGAGCAACTCAGACTCCATCCACCCAGACCATAGTACGACAAACTTTAATCTGACTCTTAAGTTTCTGACTCATGTGTTTTTGGAAGCGTTCAGTCTTGTTAGGCATGGTTGTTTGGAGGTTTTGAGTCCACATCACTGCAGTGTCACTTCTGACCCAACACGTTGAAGATTGACCACCTTCCCTCACCCATGGCAACCCAACTGGAGCGTGTCAGCCCCGGTCACTGGGTCCAGTCATGACAAGGACCAGCTCTCCCAGTGTCCAGGGCCTCTCCATGTCCTGCATTTCTCCTTCTGTTCCTTTCTGACCCCAAAATCCAAGCTGACCCCATTCACGGTCAGCACAGCACAGTCTGTCCTGCTAGCCCACATCAAAGCTTCACTCATCCCTAACCTGTAGTGCCAGTCCCCCTCTTATTCTCCCTGCCTGCTCCAGAATCACAGCAGGTCCCCCCTCATTCAGCCGCCTCCAATTGGAAGCCAGCTATTAGCAACCTGACCCACTTTCCCGATTGCTAACTGCTAGCACGGCTAATTGAGCTCTAATCACTTCCTAATGGCTGCATTGTTTCTGGCTGCTCTCGCTAAATGCTAAACAGGGGGAGAGTGGAAAGGCGGCGAGCGAGTGCCTATTTCCAATTAGGGCATGAAAGGTGCCGTAAAAGTGAAATAATGTGGAGAGCCAGTGAGAGAGGGGTAAACAAGCAGGCTGAGAGTTTAATATTCAGAAGATGACTTACTGAGACCTTATGAATAACATGTGATTTTGGCATTTATCGTCAGCATGAATGAGAGAAAACATGAACATGGTGAGAGTTATATGATCATTGAGCGATATTAAAGACAGAATATGTGAATATAAGATATTTTTAGTAGCATCCACATGTATTGAGCACCAAAAGTCTCTGTTTTTTTAAACAATTAGAAAGGAAAGTGCATAGAGTGGAATAATCTTCAATTTTTTTTCACTAAATTTTGAAGAGTTGTCTAAAACCAAATCCTTGTGGGGGGCTGGATGGCCAAGTGGCTGTGTCATGCACCCCATGTACAGGTACAGACCATGTGGTCCTCGACGGTCGTGGGCACAGGTCCGGCCTCAGCCCTTTGCTGCATGTCGTCCCCCACTCTCTTTCCTCCCAACACTTCCTGTCTCTCTCTTTCTCTCTTCACCTGTTCTATCTAATAAAGGCAACAAAAAAAAAGTGACCTAAAAGAAACTTACTTCTTTATGCTAGTAACTTAGCTTGATTCTGTTCTTTCAATATAATGTATCTTCATCAAATTGTTCTATTTCATTGTCATTGTATCACTTTCAATTGCTTTCTGGTTGAGAGGAGACTGACTATACCAACTTGGGGGGGGTGACTACAGTGTAAAAATCCAGGGCAATAAAACAGATAACGGATGACTACAAGAAAGAAAACCCTAAATACATTAAAGAGAATCCGATTTACTTCAATTGTTTAATAAGGTTGACTTGTACTCCAGAAATCTGTTGGGCTGCTGTGAAACTGCGATTACTCGGGAGTGACTCAGACTTTGAAGTCTCATGAATTAACAAAAAAGGTATTGTTTAGATGAGGAGTTTTTTTGCAGAGTATTAACAACCTTAACTCCCACGGGTCTAATGTTTCCACAGTCGTATGAAAAGGCGCAGCAGCAGCAGCAGCAGTGACTGGGAATAAATATAAGTCTTTGTGTGTGTATGAAGTGAAGTCAGAGCGCTAAGTTGCAACGGATCTGTTATGGTTATTTCCACTCTTAGCCCGCTCTCTCTCTCTCTCTCTCTCTGAGTGGCCGTTGGTGTGGTTTGAATATTCAAATGTTACTGGTCTGAACTCTGTGCTGCTGGGAGCACCACAATGACAAACCTCAGCATAGTCTTTAACAGTGAGAACAGAGACCTGCAGCAGGGAATTCAGCTCTTGTCTTGCTCCTCCAGTTCTGGGTAAGTCTGCTTGTTGAGATGCTGCTGATTTACTTGGTGCAGGTCATTTCTCTTTGATCGATAAACTCATCATAGCAGTGATATATGGGATCATGTTTAGTCTGCAAAACGCTCTAATCTATGCATCAGCAGGTCAAAATGCACATGAATCTCTTGCTTGTATGCAAAAGGGAGTTCATAAGACCAGACAGTGATTCTTTGTGAAGCAGAGGGACGCTGCCCAAAAGCAGTCCATATAAGTCCAAGCCTTATAAGAGCTTCTCAGCTCGGCCTGCTTGGCAAGACTTGAAAGCACTTGAGCCTGCTCCTCATTGTTTTTATAAACAGTTAGTGATGGGCTCCTCTCATTGTTAGTGCGGAGAGCTTTATAACAGTTTTGGTGGCTAGCCCAGAGAGAAATGGTGGCACGTTTGGCTGGATCCGCACAGACCACCTCCAGGCCCTTATAAGGCCACTTTGTGTGGGGTCGAAGTAGACTCCGCATCTGCCTTCTCTTCTCTCCCCCCCCCGAGGCCCTCCCTCTTATTCAGGCTCTTCCTCCTCGTCTCTATACCTTCCTATCTTGTTGTTTAATAAATTGTCTTTTCCCCCCTGTTGCAGATTCCTCAGAGGGCTTGACCTCACAGCCTTCGGTGATGACTGAGCATGCTCCGTCGTCCGCACTGACCGTCAGCTCCTCCACCAGCATCCCAGCTGCTACCTCCGCCCTGAGTCCTCCCCCGTCTTCGTCGTCCTCCTCGTCGTCTACAGCCATCCCCCAGCCCAACAGCAACAGCAAGCCCTGGAGGAGCAAATCCATGAGCTCTAAGAACGCCTCCTCTCCTTCCACCAGCACCTCGGCGTTGTCCGCCATGCAGTCAGTAAAGCAGGAGAAGGAGTCCTCCAGTAAGGCTGCACCGGCGAGTGACGCTCCTCCTAAGGTTGTCGCTCAGAAGTCGATGCTGGAGAAGCTAAAGCTCTTCAACAGTAAAGGAAGCTCCAAATCTTCCAGCTCCTCCAATGGAGTCGGGGCTCAGACTGATAATGCTGCCCTAGCCAGGCAGCTCAGTGCGGGGCAGGTGGAGAGAGCTGAGACAGGCTCCAACACCGACCCCCTGGAGGACAATGACGGCAACGTACGGCCGGGAATGAACGGTGCCAGTAATGGGACGGCTTACGGGTCTGCGCCCTCAGCAGGTACGACTGTCGCCACAACCGCCAGCAGCCCCAAAATCGCCCTGAGGGGCATTGCCCAGCGCACTTTCAGCAGAGCTTTAACTGCCAAGAAGAGCTCCGTCAAAGGCACAGAGAAAGAGAAGGACAGAGGGAAGGACAAGGAGAAAGGGAAGGAGGTGGGGAAACGTGTCTCAGTCCCTGACAGGACCGAGCTCAGGGGGGAGGAGCCTAAAGAGGAAGCGGCACCTGTAGCTGCAGACACAGACAGTTCAAGCAAAAGGACCTCTAAAATCACCAGCTTCATTCCCAAGGGGGGTAAAGTGGCCAAAAAGGAGAGCTCCACCCCTGCACACAGCGGAATACCAAAGCCAGGAAGTAAAGGAGTCGGAGGGAAAGCTTCCTCAGCGAAGGAGGCGGGGGAGAGGCCTCGGAGCATGCGGCTAGGAGGGGGTCTAGTCATGCACCGCAGCGCCCTGGACAGAGACAGAGACAGAGACAGCAGACACTCCAGCTCCACTTCCAGCCTGGCCTCCACCGAGGGAAAAAGCAGCGCCGCCACGGTGGCAGGAGGAGGCACTACACAGAGCACAGCCAGCAACACTGTCAGCGTGCAGCTACCTCAGACTCAACAGCACCACAGCCACCCCAACACGGCCACCGTTGCACCTTTCATGTACAGGTGACACCACTTATAATTAATTTGTTTTTGGCATTGTGGGTAATGTAGGCTGCAGGTTTATGACGATGAAAAAGAGATTTAGGCTGGGAGTGAGATCCATTTTTCAGCATTTTCAAGATTTTTGACACCAAGTGGTTAAAAAAAAGGTAGCAGAAAAAAAAATCCTGATGGTTGGACGTGGCTCCCAGCCTGAATAACCCTGGTTTTAACCCTAACCCTTCATTTTATAGTTGTCACATTTGTTGGATTTCATACTTTGACAGCTGGTAAAAGTTGGAAATCTAAATCCATCCATGTGTGCAAACCCAGAGCAGTCACATCTGTGCATGCACATGTGCGTGTGTGTATGTGCAGAGTGTACTTTCTCCACGTGTGTGCTCATGTATCTGTGCAAATATGTTCTGATGTTGTGTGCCTCTGACCTCTGGTCCTGCTCCCAGTGTGATAAGGAAGGCGGTCCCCCTCGTTCTCAATGAGGCCTTTCTAGCAGAACCTCATTAGCCCTCCTGACGCTTCCTGTGCTGCTGCCCTCTCTCCCTCTGTACATCCTGACCTGCAGCTAACTGACCCCACCTCTCCAAACACCCCCCATCACTTTGCTGTATACCTGTCAGGTAGCATTAGCAGCAGGATTACAGCACCTCCACCTGTCAGGAAGAGTATGTTTGACAGAAAATAGGAAAAAAACACACATATATTCAATGTTCAATTTGACTTTTTTTAACTCCTGCAAAAGACTGGATATAACAAGAAATAAAGCTGAAGTTAAAAAAGACATAAAAGTTGTGAATGCATGAAAATAATCTTCATTTTGAATCGTTATTAGCTCAGGAAATCAGACTTTAGAGACATTTTGGATGCTAACAATCCTTGCAGTAGTGTGAGAGGTGCTCATTGGCTCAGACTGGCTCACAGAGAGGGTGCACAGTAGCCAACGGGGCTAAAGTCTGAGATCAGGCAAAGGCTGTGTGTCACCCAGGCATTCAGACGTCATCGTCTCAAAATGCACTAGTCGGGGCAGCGGCTGTACTCTATTGATTTTATTCTTCAAAGACAAGCGTCACTGGCATTCAGGGCTTAGCATGCGTTCATTTCAGGACCCCCCCCCCACCAGTCACAAGACTTCACACAGCAGATTTAACTTTAATCAGGTTTATCCCTCTTTCGTGACAATTTGCTGAATATTAGGCCTCTGCTAAATGCACAATAATTCAGAATCGATGATATGCCCCCTCTTTGATCCCTTGCATAATTTGTTTTCCCAGGTCCCAAACTGATGGCGAGGGGACGGCGAACACCGAGACCGGCTCAGGAGGAATAGGAGGGGACGTCTCCTTCAACAAGAGCGGCCAGCTCTCCATCGAGGACCTATCAGGTGGGAGCTCACTTACAGACCAGGGTCAGAAACATGTGTTATTGTTCTGGCTTTAGTTTTAAAGCCTGTTTCTTTTGTCTCTTGCTCAGGGGGAGGACCCAGAGACGAGGCGGTTACGTACGGTAAAAAACATCGCTGACCTGCGGCAAAACCTGGAGGAAACCATGTCCAGCTTACGGGGAACTCAGGTCTCACACAGGTAAGAGTCGAATGCATGACGGTTTCACTTGGACGCTTCCTGCTCTCTTTTTGAAGAAGGTTTCTGTTGGATGATTATGTTGACCTTTTTAACATCCTTATTTAGATTTAGATATTGTGATTCATTTTATTGTAAACTTTTTAACATGTAGGAAAATGAAATCTCATCTCAGGTGAGTTACACATACAGTGGGTGACAGAAGAATTCATGATGGATGTGTTACAAACTGTAATCCTCAATACAAGCCGTGCATGTTGTGTTTTTTCAAAATGCCTTGGAAATGTAAAGAGACGTAAAAAAAATGGAGTAAAGGGAATTAATTAGGGATGGTAAAAGTCAAAGCATTATTCAAGTGGGTGAAAGGTTTCATTTTCACCTTGTCAATCCAGCATTGTTCATAATAGAGTTTATAAAACGAGCTGCAAGTGGCAAACAAAACTCCACTGTTTGGGGATCATCAAAGTGTAGCGCCTTTCAATAGCTGCCACGGCTGAGTGGTAAACAGGCTAAATCAGGCCAAATGTTTGGGATTTGTGTCAGCAGCTGAGCTGCCTCTTGGTCAGCAGACTGTGTCTGTCCAGGCTCACAGGTATTACCTTTTTTTTTTTTTTTTGCCGTCTCATCCTTCTTTTGAGGCATGTTTCACTTTGATCACAGTGCATGTCCTTCACGTTGGCTTGGATTCAGATTAAGCTTTAATCTGGGTCCCTCTTTCAGAATTTTGACCTCTGGTCCGGCCTCACGTCTCAGTGCTGACCCGGCTGTCTGGATTTAGTTTTCCCTCTGTTGTGAAGTTACTGTGTCCTTTTTTGTTGTTATCTACACTAACAAAGGAGCTCTTCACTTTACTTTCTACCTGTCTGTGCACCTGGGGAAGGTTGGCCTTGACCCATGAAGCAATCCTTGTGGTTTTTTGTTGTGATCCATATTTGTGATCTCCATTATTGGACAGTTTTAGACAATTATCGGAGAAAACTTGTATTTATTTAAAGCTACACTTTGAGATCTACCTCAAGGTCATGAGCAGGAATCATTTACTGATTTTCTATATCTGAGTATAACTGAGATTAATATTTGAGATATAAAGAATAGAAAATAAATACCAATTATTTCATCATGGATTTCTCAGATCTGTCTGCACCTGTTTTACAAATCTACTTAGAAATAAAGCTTCAAACAGAGGGAGCAGCCAAATCAGCAGTGCAGGGTTAAGTATCAGTGAGAATACATTTCACTGACTCAAATATTAAGCAATATTTTTCATTGAGCTCAGGCCAATGAAATGTTCAGTACCAAGAACTAGAGCCTGACCGTTAGGGGATTTGTGGGGCCGATACCGATACCGATAATTGGGCGAGAAGAAAATCTGATAGCGATATATCGGGAGATATCTTTCTTTGATCTACACATTTATTACATTGATCCCTCGAAAGCAGTTGTCAAACACTTGTGGATAAGATATACATTATAATGAAGACGAGATGGTCACTCATCTGGAAAGTAACTGAGCATGAATGTGCATCACCGCTTGACACTCTGAGAGTGATAATAATTGTTATAATCCATACAGCGCCCTCTGCTGGTGAAAGAGACTGAAACTCAAATAAAATGCGATTTGACTGCTGAATAAATCTAGTTATATCGGCACATATCTACGATACAATTACCCGATACCGATAGTCACTGGATAAGCTAATATCAGCTGATATTATCGACTGGACGATTAATCGGGCTCTACCAAGAACAAGGTTGGGGCTATATGCATGCAATGAAGTAACTGCCTGCAGGGCTTCACGAGATACAAACCTCAGGGTTTAAAAAAGATACATATTTAAACTAGAATATATTTCTTCAGTTGAGTTTATTTACCACCAAAGATAGCGAAGATGTGCGTGAACCATCCATTGCAGAACTTAAATTAGTCCATTACAGCACTGAGTGAGTGTCAGGCCTTTTCCTTTCTCTGCAAATTAAAATTATAATAACCTTTTAAAAAAACAACCAACATGTAAATATAAGTGTTGTTCACCATGTTTGATTAACCTCTAGACGAGTGTTGAATGAGAGTTTATACTTTGTCTCTACCTGCTCAGCACCTTGGAAACCACGTTTGATGGCAACGTCACGACAGACGTCAACAGCGGTGGAGGAGGCAGCAATAACAGCGCGGGGAGTCGGAGCATCCTCAGCCTCACTTCTACCCGCCCCTCCCTGTCGTCATGGCGACTGGGTCAGTCCAGCCCTCGTCTGCAGGCGGGCGATGCCCCCTCTATGGCGAACAGTTATGGGGGCCGGGCGGCGGGCGGGCAGGGAGGGCGCTACCTCTACCCCGGGCATCTCAGACGGCAGCTGGCTGGCCGGGGAGGAGCCCTCTGCAGCGTGGACCTCGGAGACAGAGCCGGAGACGACATGGACCTGGACAGCATCTCCATGGAGGTCACAGGATACATGAGCGACGGAGACGTGCTGACCAAGAACGCAGCACGCACTGATGATGTCACCAGCGGGTAAGAAGATTTTTTTTACTGAGGATGCTTTTTAATCCTACACACAGATTGTTATAGTTGTAAAATAACTGATGTATGGATTGACAGGAAAAACTACTCAAACACAGTTTTGGTCATAATGAGAAGTTCAGTCCTCCAGTATGAGAACACACTGTTTGTTTTCATCCTCATAATTAGAAAAGCTTTGTGTTTTTTGCATTGTTGGCTGCACAAGACAAACATCTTGACTACGTCACGCTGGGATCAGAGAAGACTAGCCACAGGCATTTCTTTTTTCAAGATTTCTTTTTTAGGGCTTATTGGATTTATTTAGGACAGTGTGTGACAGAGTAAGAAATCGGGGAGAGAGTGTGTTGAATGACATGTGGGAAAGGAGCTGCAGTCCGGCCACCAGCTGGGAGGACCATAGCATCCGTACATTGGGCGGGACGTAACCGCTAGGCCATCTGCGCCCAAATATCCTTTTTTTTTTTTTTTTAACCATCAACAATTTAAGGAAAATAAAAAGTGATAATTTAAATGTCAATCACAAGTTACAACACTCACCCTCAGAAAATGAAAGTTTCATGCAACATGTGCGATCTCTTTTGTTGATCAGTGGAGGAAGACACCAACTCATCATGTTTCAAATGATAACTTATTTATAACTCCAGCTGCGGTGCACTTCATGAAGAGTTGCTTACTTGACGCACTGAGCAATAACCAAGTTAACACAGAGCCTGATTTTGTTTTATATATCGCATCAAAAACTGCTAGGTTTCTTTTGACTCTGCCTTTGTATTTCATTGGACCATTCCAGCACAGGACTGACCCAGAGACAGACAACCACACACGTACACTCGTACTTACTGACAATCACCATGTTCATGATATCAGATCATTCAAATCAAGTATGATTGATTTCTTATCAAACAAAAAACAGATTAAATAGAGAAAAAAATCAATATCAATACATTCATTTAATTTATATGGACACATAGGTAGACTGTGAGTTATTTCCAATGCTCACCAGAAGAGGGCAGTAGTGTGTCCTCTTCTCTGCAACTGCCAGATAACATCCAACAGTCAAGCCTCAGTGTTGTAAGCAACATTTATTCTGCACAGTTAAGTTCCCACAAGTATCCCATCCGTGTGTGTGTGTGTGTGTGTGTGTGTGTGTGTGTGTGTGTGTGTGTGTGTGTGTGTGTGTGTGTGTGTGTGTGTGTGTGTGTGTGTGTGTGTGTGTGTGTGTGTGTGTGTGTGTGTGTGTGTACGTACAGTAATGCTGATACACTGATAACCTGTTTATTTGCTCCCTTAAAGCCACTGTCCGTGTTGTAACAGGCCCCCATGCATACCTGGGCTGTCACACTGTGCAATTTAAACCTCTATGCTCATCGTTATTATCAGATGAAGTTCTAAAAGGCGCCAACTCGCCCTCAGATGGCATCGCAAAGCCAGAGACACCAGGGTCTGCTTCAGGGATTGAGTCAAGTTCTAATGAATGCAAATCCCCCCCCTCACAAAAAAAAAAAAAGAAACCTATGAGCTCATCTAAGAAAGGCGATAAGAAACCCACATCTCTTAAAAGCTTGAGTGGGAATGACTTCCTCTGGGCTCTCTGGATTTGAAGTGATTCAGCAGCCCTCAGGCTGCTGCAGCAGTCGAGGGAGCAAAGTGCTCTTGAAGTACTTGATATGTCTGAATCCGTCTGAGCAGACAAAAGGCCGAGCCACAGGCACACCTGGACAGGCGAGTGATTGAACAGGTGAGCAGAGACTTTTGCTTGCTTGAAGACATCCAGACACCCAGGCTGGCTAAAACTAAGAAAAAGGCAAAGGCAGATATAATCAGAATCAGGAATACTTTATTAATCCCCAGGGGTGATTTTGGTCGTGTCAGTTGCTCTTTTACACAAAAAAAAGGACATAAAAATAAAAAGGGATTTAAAAAATGTTAAGCAAAAGCAGAGGATTGAACAGCACAGATGTTAGATATGATACGCTTTATTGTCCCTTTCACCTAACCCTGAATTGCTCCTGCTGCTTCCTACGACGCATGCATGTGTATGTATGGATTAGTCACTTCTGATGGTCACTTCACACAGCAGCCTCTGACATCAGTGTGTGAATGTGTAGGTGTGATCTGCAGTGTAAAAGTGCTTTGACTAGTCAGAAGACTAGGAAAGCACTATACAAGTTTAAGTCCATTTAGATAATAAGATAATATGCATATCAGGAATAAAAGTCCTGTATATTTAGTCAAATAGCCCTACGCTACTGTATTTCTATGTTGGCCATAACAGTCGTACTAGTGGCAAATATTTAAAAGTTTAAGAACCACTCGGTCGAGGGTCCAATCAGTTGAGCGTCTAAGGGTTAAATAATCACTGACCTGTTTACATGCAGCACTGCACACTCGAAAATAAATAAATAATCGATAGATACTGTAGATAGTTTGTGCTGCATTTGATGATTATCTTCATGTTTAATTTCTCTCTCATTGAGAAGTTTATCAATAATTGAGTCCAACATTTGTAGACGTCTTTGTGTAAAATGCCTTTCACACAAGGTGAAGCATTCTAAACAGACACAGATGGATGACATCCCCCCCCTCCCCCCTCAACCACTCATACCCCTCCACCCCCTCTCTGAACCCTCAGGCTGTGCAGCGGTTAGCTCCATCACAATCCTGTTAGCACCCACTAACTGCTTCTCCCACACATGGGGATGGAAGGGGGATGTTAACAGCAGTATATCTCACAATACAACTCTTTACCTTCACTTTAAAGTAAAGCAGAGTAAAGGAGGAGTTCACAAAAAATCTCCAAAGAAACGTTCTTGTACCTGTAGTGGCGTCAAGACATGCAGACATTTTTGGATTATTTGTCGATCTTACATGATCTCTGACATGTTTTCTTTTTCCTGAGTAGAATGGAGGTTAATGGAGTCTGTTGTTGCATGATCCTGCAACAGTGAGAACCTGCATGCAGGAAATTGAATGGCAACATTTTTTCTTTCAAAGGCAAAAAGAGATAGTCTCTTAAAGTCATTCAAAGGTGCATAAAGAGAGTGTTTTGAATCCGTTGATGCACTTTCTGATTCATATAGAGAGAGATTGGGATGCATGCATTATAACTGTAGTTTTGACTGATCCAGAGCAGTATATAAAGATGAATTAGCGACTGTGTAAGATATATTTTTTACAATTTGCATGGTAAGGTACAAAATAGATAAAGAGCTGAGACTTAACGAGCTGCTCTTTGTTGGATGCTTTCAAGAGGATGTTAAGTGACTTGGAGGCGGACACATCTGGCTGCAGATGTTCTCCCTGATGTGTTTGTGGATGGTCGTGACTATCATTTGGTGTTTAAATTAGTTATTTGTGTCTTTTAATGTCTAATAATGTGTTTCGGGATTTGTATGCGCTGTTGCCTGTCCTCAGCCTGGAAACTCTTGAAAAGGATTTTTTTTCTTTCATCGCAACGAGTTTTCTTCCTGTTTAAATAAAGGTTAAAGAAATAAGTTGATTCAACAGTTTTGTCACAGAAAAACTGCTCTCAGGATCTGGGATTGTCTTTTTTTTTTTAAAGGGATAAAAAAAATTCATCAAATGTTCTCCCTTCCCAGCTCCCTAATTGTTCGTACTTCCTGCTTTTTATCTCATTGCAAAATACAGATTTTTCAGCAATGCCAACACTTAACCTTTAACTCTGGGGACTCATTTTCCAAAAATGTCATTTATGAATAAAGTCATTAACTGAATCAATAAAAAAAACCAGCAGAAAATCAATAAAAGATGAAGAAAAAAATCGGTAGCAGCTTCAAGCATTTATAAGCAAGATAACCAGATCAGCATTTATCCACCTTGATAGTTAATTTATTTAGTCTCCTTTTAGCCCTTAACCTCAGACAACATGATGGATGACACCACATTCAGTATCTGCATCAGTTTCCTCAAAATCTACAACCCCCACTTCAGTTTTCCCCTCTCAGCTTCCCTGTCCCCTCAGAGACCAGGACCCTCCTCGGCTCGGGGGTATGTTGCCCCATCTACCCCCTCTGCCCTCCCCCTTCCCTTCCTCCCGTTCCCTCCTCCACCTCTCCCAAACAGACCCAACCTCCAGCCAGGAGGGAAAAGCATGTGGAGCCGAGCGGAGAGGCTGCATACCGACACACAGCTCCGACAGAGCAACACACACATGGACACACACACACACACACACACAGGAGAGTTCAGTCACTTCTGACCTGATATCACCATGATCCAACACACTCACACCTGCTGATATTGTTAACAAAACAGCGGATCTCACACTGATAACAGACAGTTGAAAAAGGACACTTTGCGTTGGAGATTTTTATCAACAGGAACCCTCACCTGGACTTGTTTATTTTGCTTTGGACTCACAGTGTGACCATGTTTGAGGCAGAAAGGTACGTCACAGTCTTTTAGAAATCTCTTTTTGCGAGTGTTTGTGTTTTTTCCTCCAGACCGTGACATTTTGTGAATCCCCCCCCGTCAGCACCAGTGAATGCATTCTTCATAAAGCAAATATTTCTGTAGTTTCATTGACTCAAGAAGTTTAGCTTCTGTTTGGTGCACGGCTGTATAAACTTGAGCCGGCTACTCTGTTTCAGCCTATAAACTGTCTTGTTTGGACACGTTTCTGCTGCTGCTGCTGCAGGAGGTTACAGGTTAACAGACATCTGGAACAGGACGACAGGGAGGCTCTGTTACTTATTAGTGTGAAGTGTGTGTGTGTGTGTGTGTGTGTGTGTGTGTATGGGTGAGATCGTGGTCATCGTCAAGGTGACTTTGCTTTTGGTGATGATGGATGCTTACCAAAAGGGGACAGCAGACCCCCCTCAGAGTCTTTCTTCTGTCTGAAGAGGATTGATGCATTTTTCATCTGCTCTCATTGTCCCCCCTTGTTATCGAGAAAAACTGCTTCACGTGACAAATCTGATAACAAGGAGGGAAACAGTGTTGTTATTGCTGCATCCGTCTGATTCACTGTTTGATTGCTAAAAACATGGGTCAAGATCTCTATAACCTTGAATCTGTTGATGAAGCAGAAGTGATGGTGAGGATTTAGGCAGGTTTGTTGCACATTCAATTACGGATGATCGACAAAATACCTTCAAACTAATAAAATATATCAATAGAGTAAAAGACAAAGACCCAGACTCACATGCTTGTCACCATTTTAGTACGTGTTCATGAATACTTGGTTTTCCTATTTTGAAGTTAAAGGGGACATATTACGAAAAATCCACTTTGACAGTGTTTTTAAACATTTATTTGGGAAACCTGAGTGTCTACCGACCCACAAAATGTGAAATAAATCCATCCAGTCCTTTGTTTGAGGTCTGCTTACGTCTTACAACACAGAGGAAAATTCTCAGTTTCAAATTAGCCACAGTGTCACAGTGGGATTCTGTTAAAAAAATACCCTCCCCTCCCCTGGTATCTCGACCCATGGACTCCACCCCCAGACTAGAACAAACCTTTTGCACAGGTCACAGGTTTTTATTCTCACTACAGAGGAGTGACGTCTACCAGGAAAACTCAGGGGGGGGTCATTACATTTAAAGAGACACACACACCAAACGGAGCGTTCTGAGAGAGCTGGTTTATACAGGGTCACAAACCTCCTCTGGTGCTTGATTCATGTTATATTTTGACCAAAGCACAGCACAGATGTTTCATTTAGACGACAGGGACTGTTTGAAAAACCGGAAAAGGGGGATAATATGTCCTCTTTAAAGAAAAGTAGATGAGGGGAGAACATCTTACTCTCAGTGCCATGTAGAGGGTAAAATATTTGAGAATAAAATCAAACTTTCAGTATGATTCTTAGGTGTAAGAAACCATGAATAAGGAGGATTGGTCACGTTGTCTTGTCTTAAAACTTAATAATATCTCAGGCCCATGTTGCTGAGAATCTTAAAGTTATTCATCTGGATTTAAAGGTTGTTAAAAGATACATGCATGTCCTCTTCTTCCTGAAGTTTGTGCTCTTTCTTCCATTGTAAAAATCAACATCTAAGTCTAGTTTGGAGTCTTAGTGATGGTCAGCAGTCCACCACCAGCTTTCCTCAGAAGATAGCCGAGGTCTTTAGTGCGTCAAAGTATTGATAAGGAAAAGTACATCTGGTACATTCACGTCTGCTTCTTCAACTCAGTGCTGATATGTATCAACACTTTTATTCCAGTTTATTTCTATTTACATGACTTGTGGCAGTTCCCCTCACTTCACTTCAACAAGGTTTTTTTTTAGCTTCTGGTAGCTCATTGTTTTTGGTTTACACTCCACAAAAGTATCTTCAATAATCCTCACTTCCAATTAAGAGAAAAAGCTCAACCAGGATTAAATCTGACTGATTGACAAGGTTAACAAGTTGGGTCACATGATAAAACATGTTGCTGCTACAGAGCCAGGTCATTTTCTCAGGACGTTTGCAGAGACTAAAACTGAGCTACAAGGAAGGCGAGCAAGACTTTTAAAAAATGCTATAGAGTTCAGAAACTTCTGGTAGTGTTGCTGTGACGTCAAAATCACATCTTTGACTGAAACACCTCACAAATATTGAATCTTTTCAAGTAATTACGTCATAATCATACAGTACTTGCAGCTGTGAGCATTAAAACATTTGGAGTTTGTTGAGCATCTGCACACGTTTGCTCCCTGCTGAGCGACTCCTGGTTGCCGTTAAGTTTCCGTCCTGCCGCTCAGATGCTGATTCTGTTCGACTGCAGGTTGCACAAAGGAGCTCTGTCCTTAGTGCACACTGTACTGCGTGTATACTGTATATACATGTCGGTATAAAGGTGTGTTTGTGTGTGTTAGGTTCCCTCTCGCTGAGATCTGCGTAGAGATAACACTGAGAGTGTTTTAGCGGTTTGGGCTTATTTTTTCTACTCACGCAGAATCATCACTGACCCACACAGACACCATTCAGCGTCTCAAACAGCCCCGCCTCAGCTTTTAAATCAGCAGACATTTCATTAAGTTACATCTGGGCTAAATGAGTCAATATTTAGCTCCATTAGGGATCTCCTCCTCGGGTAAATGTTTGGGGAATTAGCCGGTGTTGTTTTAGTTTGAATGGGAATGTTTGTGTAAGTGTCCGAGGCCTCTGCATCAGACTGCAGACTGTAACGGTCAGCCTCCCACTCCCACAACCAATAAATCAAGGCTTTAAGAATTACATTTTCCGTCATGAACTGGGGTTGAACGGCCTGCATAGCCTGCTGAAGCGTCTTTTAATGCTCAGCCAGTCAATCAATCATAATATCCTGACCTGGAATAAATGATGCACTTTGTTTTTGATATAAAAAAAACTTCCTCTGTACGCTGAGCTGCCACTGTTTTATACAGTCTGCTGTTGTTCACCACTGACCACATGAGACAAACGAGTCTTCAGCGTGATGGTTCGGTCTGTGTGTGCTTGTTTTTTTCTCCTCCGTTTGACCCTGATTGATTGATGAGGGCTTTGCTTCAGCCGGAAAACGATGAATGTGTCCCCCCCCCTCCTGCTCTGTACAAGACAAAAGCAGCACTATGAAGAAGAACAGTGTCCTTTCTCTGAGCCCTTTAATTGTGCATCTCTCTTCTTGTTGACTGTATCTGTAACGGGCTTTGTTGTGTTTTGCAGCTACTTGACTGACGGAGGGTTGGGACTGTACACGCGACGCCTTAACCGCCTCCCGGACAGCATGGCCGCCGTCAGAGAGACGCTCCATCGGAACACGTCGTCGGGACAGGGAGATGCTGACAGGTAGGTCTGAAACAGCTTAAAGGAAAAACATGTTTCAATGATCTGTTGTGAAGGTCAGTTAATTTCAGAGCTGTATTACATCAAGATTCTTCGTTTTGAAGAAACCATATCTTTTTGTCTGATTGGAAATCTCCCAGCTCTCAGATTTAATTTTATTTGCAGCTTTTTTTTTTTTTTGCAAGACAGGAAACATGCACAAAAGTTGCTGTTTCGTCCTGCAAAGTCACTTTAGACATGTTATTTAACTCTGCAGGTTGCATTCACTTGGAGATGCAGTCTTTGCAAATTTCAGCTCGGTTGATCATAGTGACCCTTCTATAAACTTTTCTACCTCTGCATTCACTCGGAGATGCAGTTTTGGCTCATTTCAGTGCACCACCTATGTTGAGCATATTGTGATACTTATATTCTGCTGATGTCCTTATTTTCCCAGAATGCCTTTAGAGTGCTCACACTGACCATGCTGTTCTTTCTGTTTATACCGTGTTGTGACGTTGGAAATTGAAGCTCTGTTGAGTCATCTGTTGGCCACATTGAACTGCTTGTTAAGATGACAGTGAAAATTCTTGTCTTGGAAGTTTTTATGAGTCCTGATGCAGGGAAAAAATAAGTTTAACATCGCAGCTTTGCACATAAAATGTAGGAAAAATATTATAAGCAAGCTTTGTAAGGAGTTAAAACAGAATTCATAATGAACAAAAAAAACCAGCAGAATCACCATCTCTCGCCTCTAGCTTAACGCCTTGATGATAAAAAAAAAAAAGATGTATCGCTCTGTTTCACAGAATGGTCTTGCACAGGTTTTGCTCCGACTTGTGCCACAGGGAAGTATGATGTAACTGAGCTTTGTGCGAAACACCACACGCCGCTGCTGACGAACCCACTGCTCCTAAATGTCAGAGCACTTCAGTCCGACACATGTAGGCATCGTGAGGACGCGTCGGTCTCAGCGTGTAGTTCAGTGTGAGTGATGACGCCGTCGTTCGGTGCAGTCTTTGTCCTGTCACAGTGATGGAGAGGGATTTAGCTCCTGGTTAATTGACAGACGGAAATGGATGAAGGCCGTGCATGGACCACGAGCATAGAGGCATGTGGGGGGGGGGGGTGGTCGAAAGAAAGCGAAAGAGAGGGAGAATAGGGGGGAGGGAATATGCTTATAATCAAGATGGACTGAGGTGGTTCCAACAATAAGTGAAGGACAAACAAGCTGTAACAAAGGCCTGGCTCTAAAATATGACCACAATGATTTGTGAAACTTATTTATACTCAGCGATCATCAAACTGTGGACAAATCTGGGGTAAAAAACTATTTTCTTTGTGCTTTGATACTTTTTAGACTGTGCAAAGCAAGGTCAGTCTTCGAGTCTCAAACTGATGTGTAACACAGACGGACATGTTGACGTGTCTTGCAGAAGTCCTGAGTGCTCTAAGCAGCTTTTTCAGTAAATCCTCAGGTGTGCCTAATTTCCTGTCTTCCAGACTTTTGACCTCTGCCCTCCTGCTGCCTCTTTACCCTGCACGCATACACACACATACACACACACACACACACACACACACACACACACACACACACACACACACACACACACACACACACACAAACACTCAGCTTTCCACATTAAACTCCCCCAGCCCTTAGGTGGGACTTAACACAAACTGTCCCTCTCCTCACCTTTCATCTCTCCCCTCTCCTCGCCCCCATTTCTTTCTCTCTAACCATGCAGGACTCGGTCTATCCCTCCTCTCTCCTTTCCTTTCCCTCACGCTTGTTTTGATTAGAGACTGCAGCATGAGAAGAAGAAACTAAAAAGCAATTAAATGATAAAAGTTTGAGGGGGGATTTTTTTTAACGTTTTTTTTCCATCTCTGTTTGATTTTGTGTCGCTTTTAAGTTTCTCTCTGAGGTTTAATTGGCCGAGGAGGCAGATGTTATGTTCCTCGACCAGCTTCACTTTCAAGATCTTCACACAGCTTTCATACGATTAGAGAAGAGGGCGAGGGTGAACATTAAGAGGGATGAGCTGACTCCCCTCCTCCTGCCACCCAGAACCTCCTCCCCCCTGAAGGAATGTCTGATAAATGTGCTTACTGCTTTCAGTTTGGGATTAATTAGGAGAGGTGGAAGCGGCAGATAAAGAGCATTAGCATAACAAACGGAAAGGCCGGGGAGCTGGAGGGCTGACTTTTGTAAAAGATGAAGCCAATTTAATACCTGACAGGGGGGTTAATGGTGCATTTGGTGCAGGGGGTTGAGCACCTTATTCTGCACATGATATTGGGATGTGTGTGTGTGTGTGTGTGTGTGTGTGTGTGTGTCAGGTGAAGTTCTGAGCTCAGATGTGTGCAGTCAGTGTTTGTACACTGGGTGTGTGATCCATCTATAAAAACACTGCTGTAGTTTAAAAGCTTTTTTACATCCCTCATGTTTGTGATCAAGCAGAGCCTGCTGCAGGAGTGGGGGGGGGGGGGGGGGGGGGGAAGGTGTTGGGTGTCACAGTGGCATTGGGGCAAAGCACCTTATGACCCTTGAATGAGGAGGTCACAAGCTTCAAAGGTTAGAGGCGCAGAGTTTGGAGCATTTCTAAAACTGTTAAGTCTGCACGGTTTAAAACCCTCCAGATCAGACCGAACATGCACTAATGAGGAGCATGAAGGTCGAGCAGAACGCAACATCAAACGGCTCTTTCAGATAAAGAGAACAGCGATTAAAGTGCGTATCATTTTATCACGTGAGATGGAGACTGATGTGACAGCTGAAACTGCAAAAACCAGTCAGACCAACTGTCACATGCATGCAAAACAGTGTGGTGGAGGAAGGTACGGAGTCACGGACAACATGACATGTGAGGCTCAGTAAACAAGCAGAGACAATAGACACCAGAAACCCTGTGTGTGAGCGTGTGTGTGTGTGTGTGTGTGTGTGTGTGTGTGTTGGCATGCTTTTCCCTGTCATTTATCCCTGCAGCAGGAGGAAGAGGAAACAATCTGTAACCGTCTGTCTTCTGATTTGAATTCTCTTTGTTTAAGCAGACAAAGGAGAGGTCTCTGTGGTGTGAAACCGCTGTAGCGGCGAGTGTTAGAGCGACCTCCCCCCCCTCCCTCACTCACTCCCTCCCTTAATGCTGAGGCGTTGAAGATATAATTTGTCTTTTCCAAACAAGCAGGAGACACAAAGAATAGAGCACAGCGGAGAAGCCTCTCAGGTTAAGGCTGATGACGGATGCCTTCACATTAAAACGTACATAAATCTGTAAAATGAGGAGGCAGGGTCATAAAGGATCCTACTCATATTCAAGAATTTTATACAAATGGTCTGTTTCTTCAATCTTTACGCCCCTCTTAATGGTTTCTGAACACATGCAGATTTGCTTTAGAGGAAGCTAAAGGGTACTCTTTTGTCTTTCTGTTGTCTAAAAAGAAGAGACAGATCATTTAAACAGTAAATAGAATCTCTTTTCTGGCCTAGTAGTCATGAATAAAATGCTTAAAACACACCAAAGCAGGGACATAAACTATAAAAAACCCCACTCAGTCTCACAAATACAATCGTAACACACTGACTTTTTAAGGTAGAAGCAACTTTGCATCATCATGACGAGGTCTGACTATGAGCTCTTTGACAGAGGACGTAAAATCGTCATAACAAGACACACATGCTTTAGTTGAAAGAGTCCTGATGTTAGCTGCAGATGAAACAAATGAAAGAGAAGAAAAATGCAACTACTGAATGAAACTACTGCATGAAAACCACCAGTGAGCAAAAAAGAAACAAGTCTTCAGATCGTTAAAAATGGTGAGCAGTGTTTCCTGAAACACAAGAAAACGTCCTCAAATGTTAAGTGTTATATACAACCAGGAAATATTTATTTCCCTGTCCAAAAGTGGCAAGCAAACCAAGTTTTTCTCCCTCAAGGAACTGGCACCTGAGATTGTTTTCATCTAATCTTTTCATCCATTGTTAAATGTGTGCAGACTTTTTAAACGTCTGTTCTTAAAGGTGCTATTATATAAAGTTACTTTTATTCCTACTTATCATGAAGACAACTAAAACCTGTTAATCGTTTACCAAAATAGTTGGTGCTCAATTCAACAGACGACAAGGGTTTTAGTTGAAGAGTTTCTTTGCAGGTCTCTGACACGTTTAATGCTGATTCAGCAAAAAAAAACAGCCTGGCACTCCTGTTCCATCCACCGACATAAAACTCCTTCAATCAGCCAATCCCCACACTTAGATAGTTGACATTCACTCTAATACCATGATTGTCTCTCTAATTTGTCTCCTAATACCTTCTCTTAAGTACCTTGAATTAGCCGTCTGTTTCTAAGGCTCCATTAAGCTTAAATAAACATGCCATGCCTTGTCTTTGTGGTATACTAATCCTGTAAACACCTGTCTTTAAGTCCGTGTTTAGACCTGCGTTGACACTGCATATAAAAAAAAACCTACCTCCTCATTTGAGTCAACTGTGCTCCAGCAGGAACAGGGTGAACCTGGTCCACTCCGCCACATGACGTCATGATGACATGATGATTTGTCAACCCCACTATATTGTGCAATAAAAATGCAAAGCTTACATTCCTGGTTGACGACTTTTTCAGGTTGAATTGTGTAACCTCCTGCTCGTTGACTTGTAAAATCCTGATGATAAACCCGAGCTCTTTGCTATCTCCTTTTTCTTTTCCCTCCCTCAAGGCGCCTCCCTTCAAACCGGGCCTGAGTTGAGTGGCTTTTGCAGGTTTTCAAATGTTGAATCAGCTACATAAAAGCACGTAAAGATGATGACAATGTGTGATGATGGTATCTTGTTAGGACTACAGTTTAGGTTTTGTGTTAGATGCGTCGTTGTTGAGTTCCACTTTCTCTCAGGTGGGTTTTATTCCCACCTGCAACAGAACTTGCATGTTGCTCAGAGCATTTTAGACTTTTTACAGGCACACATATAACAGACACACTCACTGTAACACACACTGGCCCAGAGCAGCTGTATGTTGTCTCT